CTTAACTCCCCTCTCAACTCACTCAATGGGCAGCTGCACCTCCACAATGCCCGTCGTCCACGCTGCTTCGCCCTCCTCCGTTGCTTCTATTTGAGTGCGAATCACTCCACGACACCACGCCCCTTGCTCCCAATGCTCCTCTCCGCTCAAATCCCTTCTTAACTCCCTCTCAACTCACTCAATGGGCAGCTGCACCTCCACAATGCCCGTCGTCCACGCTACTTCGCCCTCCTCCGTTGCTTCTATTTGAGTGCGAATCACTCCACGACACCACGCCCCTTGCTCCCAATGCACCTCTCTGCTCAAATCCCTTCCTAACTCCCCTCTCAACTCACTCAATGGGCAGCTGCACCTCCACAATGCCCGTCGTCCAGGCTCCTTCGCCCTCCTCCGTTGCTTCTATTTGAGTGCGAATCACTCCACGACACCACGCCCCTTGCTCCCAATGCACCTCTCCGCTCAAATCCCTTCTTAACTCCGTCTCAACTCACTCAATGGGCAGCTGCACCTCCACAATGCCCGTCGTCCACGCTGCTTCGCCCTCCTCCGTTGCTTCTATTTGAGTGCGAATCACTCCATGACACCACGCCCCTTGCTCCCAATGCACCTCTCCGCTCAAATCCCTTCTTAACTCCCCTCTCAACTCACTCAATGGGCAGCTGCACCTCCACAATGCCCGTCGTCCACGCTGCTTCGCCCTCCTCCGTTGCTTCTATTTGATGCGAATCACTCCACGACACCACGCCCCTTGCTCCCAATGCACCTCTCCGCTCAAATCCCTTCTTAACTCCCCTCTCAACTCACTCAATGGGCAGCTGCACCTGTTGTAAAGCTAGAATTGATACATTGAATAATGAGCCAAGAGGCTCTTTAGTACAAACAATGAGCAAGAGAGAGATGAGAGGGAAGCTTACCCTATTGGCCAATAAGTTGGCCAATGGGTGAGCTTGCTTGTGACCCAAGCAACCACAAATGTGGTTGGAGGGTACACTAAGCAACCCACCAATTTATAAATGTGCTACACTTCTAGCCTATGTATGTTGTATGAAATATGAAATTACAACACAACCCCCCAACATGCATAAGGCTAGAAGGCTAGAATCAAGAGGCGGGAGGCGACTTAGGAGGAGTGAGGCCAAGAAGACGAAGTAGGAAAGAGTGAGCAGCATGAGGAAGAGCTTTTGTGAAGATGTCGGCAAGGTTGGCCGCCGAGTCAACCTTGTCGAGGCGAAGGTGCCCCGCCTGAACAAGTTCGCGAATGAAGAAATGACGGAGCTCAATGTGCTTGGAGCGCCCGTGAAACACAGCATCTTTGGTGAGGTGAATGGTACTAGCATTGTCACACCAAATTGTGGGACAGCGCTGGGGGGCACCAAGTTCCTCAAGAAGGAAGGTGAGCCAGCGGGCCTCTTGCGCAGCCATGGTGGCGGCATACAATTCCGCCTCGCAGGAGGAGAGGGCTGCAGCCGAGGAGCGGGTGGAGCGCCAGCTGATAAGGCCGCTGCCAAGAGAGAAGCCATAGCCCTGGGAGGAGCGACGATCTGGCCGGGAATCAGCCCAGGAGGAGTCACTGTAGCCGCTGAGAAGAGGTGGGGAGGGACCGCTAAGGGTAAGGACATAGTCCTTGGTGCCACGAAGGTACCGGAGGACACGCTTGGCGGCCTGCCAGTGCTCTTCCGTATGCTTGCCTGCGCCAACAAAACGAGCGAGGACGCTGATGGGGTAGGCAAGGTCAGGGCGAGTGGAGACCATGGCATACATGAGGGAGCCGATGAGCTCGGGATAAGGATGGGAGGAGGCTGAGGGGGAGGTGGGTGGAGAGAGGTGGTGCCCGACAGAAAGAGGAGTAGGTTGGGCGCCACCGCGGACCATGTCAAACCGCTCCAAGACCTGCTGCAAGTAATGACCCTAGGAGAGAGAGATGGTGCGGGCGGAGCGGTCACGGGTGATGGTCATGCCCAGGTAATGCTGCAGCTCGCCCAAGTTCTTGCATTTGAGACGGCTGCCCAACTCAGCCTTAACACGCTCCAATTCGCCAAGGTCGGCAGTGAGCAGAATCATGTCATCGACATACACAAGGATATAGAACGGGGAGGGGCAGGTGCGGAGGAAGAGGCTGGCGTCAGAGCGGGAGGTGCGGAACCCAAGTTCAGCAAGGGTGGCGGCAAGCTTAGCATGCCACTCCCTCGGGGCCTGTCGAAGCCCATACACAGGGCGACGCAGCTGCCAGACAGAGTCTGCAGGGAAGGGAAGGTGAAAACCGGCTGGACGCTCCATGTAGATAAGCTCGCGGAGGACGCCTTGGAGGAAAGCGTTAGAGACGTCCATTGAGTGGATCTCCATATTGAGGCGAGCGGCGAGGTCGAGCACTGCGCGAACAGTAGCAGGCTTGGCAGTGGGAGAGAAGGTATCGAAGAAGTCAAAACCATACCGCTGCGTGAACCCCTTGGCACAGTAACGAGCCTTATAGACGGGCGGCTCCCCTGACAACTGTTTGACGCGAAACACCCACTTCCCTTTCACCACGTTCGTAGAGGAGGGAGGGCGAGGCACATCAACGAAGGAGGAGTTGGCGACAAAGGCCTCCAGCTCCTTGATAATGGCGGCGAGCCAGAGTGGGGCGTCGGGGCAAGCCATGGCCTCCTCATACGTGGTAGGGATGAAAACGGAGGGAGCAGAGGAGAATGCGAATACTGGTGTCCCAGAAAGGTCGAAGGTGATGGGTAGAAGGGAAGGGTCACAGAGGTGGAGGTCAAGGAACTCCTCATGCGAGTCCTCGGAGAGGGAGGTGTGGAAGGAGCGGATGACCGTTGGTGCCGCTGGTGCCGCTGCACGTGCCGCTGCACGTCCCGCTGCTAGTGCCGCTGCTGGTGCCGCTGCTGGTGCCGCTGCTAGTGCCGCTGCTGGTGCCGCTGCTGGTCCCGCTGCTGGTCCCGCTGCTGGTGTCGCTGCTGGTCCTGCTGCAGGTGCCGCTGCTGGTCCTGCTGCTGGTGCCGCTGCGGGTGCCGTTGCGGACGCTGCTGCTGGCGCCGCTGCTGGAGAGGTGGCAGAGGGGGCTGCTGCAGGAGGAGGTTGATGCAGAACAGCCTGGAAGAAGTGGTGAAGGAGAGGGGAGAGTGGGGGGAGGGTAGAGGTAGAGAGGGTAACAGGGAGCGGTGCACCAAGGATACTGTCACGTGACCTGGTATGGGGGTACCGGGTAAGTACGGTGCGGGGAGGGGGGGAAGGACGAGTCGGCGGCGAGGGAGGTGAAGGAGGGGCGGCAGGGGCACTAGGAGAGGAATGTGTGGGGGAGACGGGAGAGGACAGAGGTTCCGGGTCAAATATATCACCAGACGAGGGAGGGGCACCGTGGGATGGGGACGACGGTGGGGGGGGGGGGGAGGGAGGATGGGGGGAGGAGGAAGTAGTGGGGGAGGGGTGGTGTCAGACCAGACAAGGGGACGGGGAAGACGGGGGAGTGGGTCAGTGGATGGGGGAGAGGAGTAGTAGGGAGTGGACTCATCAAAGACCACATCCCTATTGCGGAATAGACGACCTGAGGGGGGATGGAGGAAAAGGTAGTCAGGTGAGGAGGAGTTATGACCGAGAAAGATGCAGGGAAGGGTACGAGGGGCAAGCTTTCCCATAGAGCGGGAGCGGTCAGTGGGGTGAAGGAGAACATAAGCCTTTGAGCCCCAGACACGAAGAGACGAGACATCAGGTTTGTTGTTCGTCCACAGCTCAGTGGGGGTGGTGGATGGGAGAAGAGGGTGAGGGTAAAGGTTAGTAAGGAGGGCGGCATGAAGGAGGGCGTAGCCCCACAGAGAAGGAGGGCAGGAGGCGTGGACAAGAAGACACCGGGCAGTTTTGGTGATCTCTCGAACACGACTTTCAGCCACACCGTTCTGCTGTGGGGAGTGAGGGAGGGTGTAAGTCTGAAGAATGCCATGAGACTGATAGTAGGAGGATATTTGGTTGTTAAGGAACTCACCACCACCATCAGAGTGAAGGCGGCTAACAGGGCGCCCAAAATGGGTATTTGCCCGCTCGAGCCAGGCGATGATCGCAGCCGGGGCATCTGCCTTTGTCCGAAGGAGAGAGACGGACGAGTACCGACTGTGATCATCGACGAGTACGAGGAGGTATCGATGGCCCTGGCGAGTGGGAGAGGGATTGGGGCCCCAGAGGTCCATGTGAACAAGATCAAGTGGCTGCGCAGCAGCGGAGGGGGAGCTCCGGTGCGGCTGCTGCTTGAGCTTGCTCTGAACGCACACGGTGCAGGGGGGGGCAGGGGATTTGGGGAGGGGAGGGAGGGAGGAGGGGAGACCGTGGAGGAGACCGGTGGAAACAGAGGAGCGTAGAGTAGCGAAGTTAGGGTGACCTAGCCTGTGATGGAGGAGGACGGCAGGGTGGGAGAGGGAGCGACAGGAGCAAGAGGAGTCAAGGGGGGGGCGGGAAGGGAGGTCCGGGTTAGTGGGAGGGAGAGGAGGAGGTGGGATGAGAGGGTGGAGGGGGGGACGAGAGATGACCTGACAGGAGGGGAGGCGAGGAACCCGAAGGGTGTACAGACGGGAGCGAGGGCAAAAGGGAATGCAAGAAAGGAACTGACCGGTGGCGGAATGGTAGAGAGCGCAATAGCTAGCATGAGCTGGGAATACTGTGGTGATACCGGAGCTGAAGGGACCTTTGCGAAAGGAGATTAGCGCGAAGAGAGGGTATGTGGAGACCGGTGACAGTGCCTGAGGGGAAGAGTGGGCAGGGGAGAGTCGAGGTGTTATGGCAGGGGATAGAGAAGCTGCTGTCGGCACCAAGGAGGGAGGTAGGCGTTGGGAGGGGGCGCAAGGTGCCAGCATCGCGAAGAACTGTGTCAGTGGCGCCGCTGTCGAGGACAAAATCGACAGTGGAGGAGAGGGAGGAGGAAGGGACAGAGGACTGGAACGCAGTTTCGTTAGTGCTAGAGGTGTATGTGGCAGGTGCAGTTGATGTGGCTTGATTGACCATACCAGCGATACCAACGGATGAGAAAGGTGGGACGATGCTTGAAGTGGCGGAGCTTGTGGAACAATGCGGAACTGAGTTCTGCTGGGAAGTTGGGGGAGGAGGAGGAAGAGGCAGCTGCGGTTGTAGGTCAAGGTGCTGCTGCAGGCGGTGGAGCAACTGCTGGAGCTGGAGGAGGAGGTGCCAGAGCTGCTGCTGGTGCTGCTGTTGCTGCGGTTGCTGCTGCTGCTGCTGCTGTTGCTGCGGAGGAGGAGGAGGAGGAGGAGGAGGAGGAGGAGGAGGAGGAGGAGGAGGAGGAGGAGGAGGAGGAGGAGGAGGAGGAGGAGGAGGAGGAGGCTGAGGTAGAGAGAAGGGTTGACTCGGGGCATGGTGGGCTTGGGTGGAGAGTTTACACTGAAGTCCTCGAGTCGGGCCATAGCGAGGCACATATTCACGAGGAGAGAAGGCTGCTGCTGCGCCGCAGCCTGCGCTCAAACCCCTGACACCACAATATCCTGCGAGTCTCCCTTGACCACCACCACAGCTGCCACTATGCCCTCTTCCATGCCCACCGGCACCACTGCTGATGCATGCCAGCGCGACTGTTGCCATGGGGGAAGCAATGTGGGGTGTGGGCGGTCACGGCATGGCGCAGGCGAGCAGGGCATGAAGGTGTGCGCAGGCAGCTGACGGTATGCGTAGGCGGGTGTGCTGTATGTGCTCCCAGGTGTGCGGTATGTGCTGTCAGGTGTGCGGTATGTGCTGTCAGGTGTGCGGTATGTGCTGTCAGGTGTGCGGTATGTGCTGTCAGGTGTGCGGTATGTGCTGTCAGATGTGCTGTATGCGCGTGCAGATGTGTTGTATGCCAGGGAGGTGGGCAGGGGGCGGACGAGGGGAGGGGGATAGCGAGCGGGGAAGGAGGGCGTGCAACGAGTGCGCGGACGGGGAGAGTGTGGACGACCGGAGCGCGGACGAGCAGGGCGTGCAGACGAACAGGGCGCGCGGACGGCCAGGGTGCGGATGACTGGGGCGTGCGGATGGGCAGGGCGCGGACGCGAAGGGCGGATGAGCAAGGCGTGCGGACGGGCAGGGCGCGGACGAGCAGGGCGTGCGGACGGGCAGGGCGGGGACGCGAAGGGCGGACGAGCAGAGCGCGGACGACTAGGGCGCGCGGTCGGACTAGCAAGGGCGTGCGAGTTGCAGATCTGAGCACGCGGAATGCAGATTTGGGCGCGGGAGAGTAGATCTGAGTGCGGAATGTGCAGATCTGAGCGCGAAATGCGCAGATCTGAGGGCAGGAGGAGTAGAGCAGGGCGCGGGAGGAGTAGATCTGAGCTCGGGAGGAGGAGGTGTGAGCTCGGGAGGAGTAGATCTGAGCTCGGGAGGAGTAGATCTGAGCTCGGGAGGAGTAGATCTGAGCTGAGGAGGAGTAGATATGAGCTCGGGAGGAGTAATTCTGAGCTCGGGAGGAGGAGATGGGAGCTCGGGAGGAGTGGATCTGAGCTCGGGAGGAGTAGATCTGAGCTCGGGAGGAGTAGATCTGAGCTGTTGAGGAGTAGATCTGAGCTCGGGAGGAGTAGATCTGAGCTGGGGAGGAGTAGATCTGAGCTCGGGAGGAGTAGATCTGAGCTGGGGAGGAGTAGATCTGAGCTCGGGAGGAGTAGTTCTGAGCTGTTGAGGAGTAGATCTGAGCTCGGGAGGAGTAGATCTGAGCTCGGGAGGAGTAGATCTGAGCTGGGGAGGAGTAGATCTGAGCTCGGGAGGAGTAAATCTGAGCTCGGGAGGAGTAGATCTGAGCTGGGGAGGAGTAGATCTGAGCTCGGGAGGAGTAGATCTGAGCTGGAGAGGAGTAGATCGGAGCTCGGGAGGAGGAGATGTGAGCTCGGGAAGAGTGAATCTGAGCTTGGGAGCACCGTAGTAGGACTACGTCTGAGGGACGGGGAGGAGAGGGTGGCCTAAGGACCGAGGGATCAAGGCGTGAGCCAATAGCTCATGATACCATGTTGTAAAGCTAGAATTGATACATTGAATAATGAGCCAAGAGACTCTTTAGTACAAACAATGAGCAAGAGAGAGATGAGAGGGAAGCTTACCCTATTGGCCAATAAGTTGGCCAATGGGTGAGCTTGCTTGTGACCCAAGCAACCACAAATGTGTGTTGGCTGGGATTGGTTGAGCTAAGGACCAATCCCAACCAACCACAAAATGTGGTTGGAGGGTACACTAAGCAACCCCCCAATTTATGAATGTGCTACACTTCTAGCCTATGTATGTTGTATGAAATATGAAATTACAACAGCACCTCCACAAAGCCCGTCGTCCACGCTGCTTCGCCCTCCTCCGTTGCTTCTATTTGAGTGCGAATCACTCCATGACACCACGCACCTTGCTCCCAATGCACCTCTTCGCTCAAAGCCCTTCTTAACTCCCCTCTCAACTCACTCAATGGGCAGCTGCACCTCCACAATGCCCGTCGTCCACGCTGCTTCGCCCTCCTCTGTTGCTTCTATTTGAGTGCGAATCACTCCACGACACCACGCCCCTTGCTCCCAATGCACCTCTCCGCTCAAATCCCTTCTTAACTCCCTCTCAACTCACTCAATGGGCAGCTGCACCTCCACAATGCCCGTCGTCCACGCTGCTTCGCCCTCCTCCGTTGCTTCTATTTGAGTGCGAATCACTCCATGACACCACGCCCCTTGCTCCCAATGCACCTCTCCGCTCAAATCCCTTCTTTACTCCCCTCTCAACTCACTCAATGGGCAGCTGCACCTCCACAATGCCCGTCGTCCACGCTGCTTCGCCCTCCTTCGTTGCTTCTATTCGAGTGCGAATCACTCCATGACACCACGCCCCTTGCTCCCAATGCACCTCTCCGCTCAAATCCCTTCTTAACTCCCCTCTCAACTCACTCAATGGGCAGCTGCACCTCCACAATGCCCGTCGTCCACGCTGCTTCGCCCTCCTTCGTTGCTTCTATTTGAGTGCGAATCACTCCATGACACCACGCCCCTTGCTCCCAATGCACCTCTCCGCTCAAATCCCTTCTTAACTCCCTCTCAACTCACTCAATGGGCAGCTGCACCTCCACAATGCCCGTCGTCCACGCTGCTTCGCCCTCCTCCGTTGCTTCTATTTGAGTGCGAATCACTCCACGACACCACGTCCCTTGCTCCCAATGCACCTCTCCACTCAAATCCCTTCTTAACTCCCCTCTCAACTCACTCAATGGGCAGCTGCACCTCCACAATGCCCGTCGTCCACGCTGCTTCGCCCTCCTCCGTTGCTTCTATTTGAGTGCGAATCACTCCATGACACCACGCCCCTTGCTCCCAATGCACCTCTCCGCTCAAATCCCTTCTTTACTCCCCTCTCAACTCACTCAATGGGCAGCTGCACCTCCACAAAGCCCGTCGTCCACGCTGCTTCGCCCTCCTCCGTTGCTTCTATTTGAGTGCGAATCACTCCATGACACCACGCACCTTGCTCCCAATGCACCTCTCCGCTCAAATCCCTTCTTAACTCCCCTCTCAACTCACTCAATGGGCAGCTGCACCTCCACAATGCCCGTCGTCCACGCTGCTTCGCCCTCCTCCGTTGCTTCTTTTGAGTGCGAATCACTCCACGACACCACGCCCCTTGCTCCCAATGCACCTCTCCGCTCAAATCCCTTCTTTACTCCCCTCTCAACTCACTCAATGGGCAGCTGCACCTCCACAATGCCCGTCGTCCACGCTGCTTCGCCCTCCTCCGTTGCTTCTTTTGAGTGCGAATCACTCCACGACACCACGCCCCTTGCTCCCAATGCACCTCTCCGCTCAAATCCCTTCTTAACTCCCCTCTCAACTCACTCAATGGGCAGCTGCACCTCCACAATGCCCGTCGTCCACGCTGCTTCGCCCTCCTTCGTTGCTTCTATTTGAGTGCGAATCACTCCATGACACCACGCCCCTTGCTCCCAATGCACCTCTCCGCTCAAATCCCTTCTTAACTCCCTCTCAACTCACTCAATGGGCAGCTGCACCTCCACAATGCCCGTCGTCCACGCTGCTTCGCCCTCCTCCGTTGCTTCTATTTGAGTGCGAATCACTCCACGACACCACGTCCCTTGCTCCCAATGCACCTCTCCGCTCAAATCCCTTCTTAACTCCCCTCTCAACTCACTCAATGGGCAGCTGCACCTCCACAATGCCCGTCGTCCACGCTGCTTCGCCCTCCTCCGTTGCTTCTATTTGAGTGCGAATCACTCCATGACACCACGCCCCTTGCTCCCAATGCACCTCTCCGCTCAAATCCCTTCTTTACTCCCCTCTCAACTCACTCAATGGGCAGCTGCACCTCCACAATGCCCGTCGTCCACGCTGCTTCGCCCTCCTTCGTTGCTTCTATTCGAGTGCGAATCACTCCATGACACCACGCCCCTTGCTCCCAATGCACCTCTCCGCTCAAATCCCTTCTTAACTCCCTCTCAACTCACTCAATGGGCAGCTGCTCCTCCACAATGCCCGTCGTCCACGCTGCTTCGCCCTCCTCCGTTGCTTCTATTTGAGTGCGAATCACTCCATGACACCACGCCCCTTGCTCCCAATGCACCTCTCCCCTCAAATCCCTTCTTAACTCCCCTCTCAACTCACTCAATGGGCAGCTGCACCTCCACAATGCCCGTCGTCCACGCTGCTTCGCCCTCCTCCGTTGCTTCTATTTGAGTGCGAATCACTCCATGACACCACGCCCCTTGCTCCCAATGCACCTCTCTGTTCAAATCCCTTCTTAATTCCCCTCTCAACTCACTCAATGGGCAGCTGCACCTCCGCTATGCCCGTCGTCCATGCTGTGCGGCCCTCCTCCCCCTCCAGCTCGCCCACCTACGCACGAAGAAGGGCAACGGGAGAGTGGGGGAAGAGGCAGAGGAGATGTCATGGGACAGAAGGCCAGGAGGAGCGGAGCAAAAGCAATTTAAGCAGGGTACAACTTTTATCTACTCTCAATCACTTGCTCAAGAATTTTGCTAATCTCCAGCTCGCCTAAGCTTCTATGGCTGAAGAGGAGGAGAGGAGATGTTACAGGAAGGATGACCAGGCAAACTGCTTGCGAATGAACCTGCCCGTTGATGTAAACACATGTCCGATATGCGCACGTAATGCACAATGTAAGTTATAGTAACCTGCTGCTGCTGTTGAAACAAGTTAGGAACGCCATCTAATTGCCACCAGGAGGGATACAGAAAAAGCTTCGTTACAGTCACTCACCTGCATGCATGCATCAGGTGCTTCACAAATTCGCTATAATCACCTGCAAGTGCTGGAAACTCGTGCCTTAGCTTGTCTTCCGCGCTCAATCCTTCCTCCTCCCCCTTCCTCTTCCCCTCCCTCCTCTTATAAGAGCATTCGTTCATAATACATCATACTTGTCTTCAGCCTGCAGCCCTTCCGCATCCCCTTCCCTCCTCTCTCTCTCTCTCTCTCTCTCTCTCTCTCTCTCTCTCTCTCTCTCTCTCTCTCTCTCTCTCTTTCTCTCTCTCTCTCTCTCTCTCTCTCTTTCTCTCTCTCTCTCTCTCTCTCTCTCTCTCTCTCTCTCTCTCTCTCTCTCTCTCTCTCTCTCTCTCTCTCTCTCTCAAACGGTCCTTTGTATTGATTCAGCAGGGGTACAAAAACATGCAGTGCAATCCATGAGAACCTCCTTCCCTTAAGCCCCTTAGCTCACCCCTCTTCCCCCCCCCCCCCTGCGTGACCCTCTAGCCCTCCAGCGTGTGGAGGATGTCCCCCAGGTGCAGTGGCCAGGGGTCCGCTGCCATCTGGGGGTGCGCTGCCTCGATCCCAGCCCTGGCCTTGGTGTGCAGGGCATTCGCTTGGGAGCGCTGGAGGGCCACTGACCAGCGTTGGCTGAAGTGGCAGGCCCTTCCCTTC